AAAGATAAAATCACCAAGACGGACTACAAGCAAATGGCTTACGATACGCTAAGTGGAGTTGGTGAAACGCTAGGCGGATTCGGAAAAACTCTCTTAAATGCCGCAGGAGGGCCTGATGACGAGGTATGTACCTTCTGACCCTTTAATGCCGAGCAGTCCACTAATACGTTTTACACGCTGTTGACATATCTAGGAGAACCTATTAGAACCCCATTTTGTGACGTTTAAGGGTGGGGAGTATCTGGAAATGTATGCTGACGAGTACGCAAATGCAGCTAAGGAAAAAATGAGTGATGCAGGAAGTGCGGTGAAAGATGCAGCACAAAATACCATGGATAAAGTCAGTGAATGCACCGTAGTTCCCTGGCCCAGTTCGACGGCGAGGGGGGGGACATTTTGCACTTTAGCTACTTCCGATCGTCGTGTCGACTCATCCATCCTCTTCCCGAGTTGACAGGTTTTACCATGATGGCTTGACGAGCTTGCTCCAGCTTCACAAGAGTTCACAGGTTTCACCAGAGTGAGACTTGTAAACCGGAACCAGTGAAGCAACGAAGTGCAAGAATGCCCCCCTAACTCGTCGGCGATGTGCGCCTAGTTTCCTATACGTTTAATTTTGCGGTTTGAAGGCTGGAGAGATCGGAGAGAAGAATCTTCCAACGGTGATTACAAGGAAATGGCCCAAGAAAAGCTGGACAATATTGGAAGAACGTTCAAAAGTGCTGCTGGAGGAGCTCAGGAAGAGGTAAGGACCATCATTAGAACGTTATTGCAGATTCTTTTCAGAAAGAATCTACCAGAGAGCCCTAATTTGTGATGCTTGAAGGCTGGAGAGCTCCTGGAAAAGATGAATGATAATGAGTATGTGGAAGCGGCCAAGAGAAAAACGAGAGAGACGGCACAAGAGATAGCAGACGCAGCACAAGACGCTAGATATAAAGTAAGTGAATCCGTCATATCTTCCGATACGCTTAACACTGCGCTTTTGAAGGCCGGAGAGATCAGAGAAGGATTCACCAGCGGTGATTACAAGGAAAAGGCCGAAGAACAGCTGGACCATGTTGGAAGAACATTCAAGAGTGCAGCTGGAGGGGCTGAAGAGGAGGTAAGCACTATCATAAGAGTGCCATGGTTACGCATCTAAGTTTGGCTCTTTGAGGCCAAGGAATTTATTGGTAAAGTTATATACGGCGGAGAAAGGCCCAGCGAAACCCCGGACGATGCAGTAAAGGACACCGTGAGGAAGGTAACGGTCACGATTGGTGCACCACACAAGTCCAAGCTATCGTAACATTTGAAATGTTGATATAGGTCAAAGTGAAATCACAGTACTGATCAAAAATATTAATAATTACTTGAAACAATTCCCATATGGGAGAGGCGCTCGTAAATTTGTGCAAAGCTGGGAAATACCACGAGTTCTTCAGGTTCAGAAACTGCTACTCAATGGTTGGGAAAAGATTGGACGCTTTGCCTACTCAATGGTTGGGAAAAGATTGGACGCTTTGCGAGGGGGGACGCTTTGCGAGGGGTACAGGCAGGTCGTGCCGCTGGAAAATTTTTTTTGGCATACCCCCCACCCCCTTTCTCCAGGGAAGGATACGGCGAGGGGTCGTACAGGGCCCATTCTGTCGCTGGAAGAAGTAATACAACCTCCTTCTCCATCTTACCTCCCATCATACTGACTTTCCCAACTTCCCATATCAAACTTTCAACGAAAAAGTCTCAGTATTTTCTGGATAATTTGCCGTCGCACGGCGAAGAGGGAGGGGCGGGGGGTGGTGGGCGTCATCAAGGGGAGCAAGAGAAGGGGTATGGGTACAAAAGCCATACGAAACGCGAAAATTGAAAAAAGTATGCAAAAGAAATTCGTTGCGTATGGACCATTTTCCGCAAGGCCAAATACAACTTTCCGCCCCACCTCACGAAGCGAAAGCAACTGCGGCCCCTCAATGGGGAGCTTCTAGCACTGTAGATAGCGTGCACGAAACAGGAAGATTCAACTATCAATAAAAATTCTCGGATCAACTGTGACTTTCCTCTCCGTCCGGCGACCTAATACGACCCCCGTTCTGAATTGTCTAGCCCTCCCTGGAAACAGAAGAGTCCGTAGAAGGATAGGATTAAATATGGTGCAGGTAAAGCTCGCACAGTTTACAAAATCGCACAGTTTACAAAGTCCGGCACGTCGAGAAGAGCTCGCAGAGCCCCACCCCCCCCCCTCCTCTTGTATGTGACAAGACAATCGTAATTCACGCTGGTGGGTTCTGCGTGCAACGTCACGTTCCCAAATGACGACGTCTCTAGGCCAAAGATGATGACAGTAGACAATTTACAGCCAAAAGTAATCAGAAATGTCGGTATTTTCGCAGGGGACGTGAGAGCGGGCGCCCCAGTCGGCAGGTTAGCGCAACCCAAAATGACGCCACGCGCATCGTCGCGTGGTGCGGAACCAAATCACGATTCTCTTGACCGTCCCCTCCCCCTTCCTTGACCGAGCGGCACTTCATAATATATCTCAAAATACAATTATTCACAATTATGTCGCAAACATGAGAAATGTAAAGTCAAAGCAGCAGTAGCAAAAACAGCATCTCTGCATTCGATGCCACCAGGCCAAAAGGTTGCGATTGTTAAAGGATGATGAGGATGAGAGCGACAATGAGTTCGTGGAAAGTCTCAAGTACGCCGCTCGAGTAGCAAGAGGAAGGGTAAGGCATTCTGAGCAAGTCCGCCATAAGAGCATGCCAACTGACGAATTTCAAGGCGGAAGATTTTTTGCAAGACGTGGTAGACAACGAGAACGTCGACATGGTTAGAGAAAGATTGAGCGATAGTGCGAGGGCCATAAAAGAGTCTTCACTGAAAGCGCCCGAAGAGGCAAGCTCCTTCAACCTATACTGAAGCATTTCCTCATTTAAGATATTTTTTAGGAAAAAGAAGAAGAGTTCAACAGTGGCAGCAGCTTTGGAGTGATCGGCGATAAGCTGAACCAGATGGGGCGTGCCATCAGAGGCACTTTGGAATCGGTGGGCATACTTTCACAAATTTCTGTCAACCCTTTCTAATTGGTAAATGTTGAAGGCCGGAGTGCTCAAGGATGAGACGATCGAGACGTTGAACGAGGAAGGAAACGCTTTCAAGAGGAAGTTCACCTAAACGGCTGGAACCTATTCGAGATCGTTGTTCTGTACAGTCGCGTATCTCCAACGGGTATAAGCATCGGATGACATTTTCCTGTACATAGATGTATATATATTGTCGTGTAGATAGATCTAGTGATTCAATGATGTGATTTCTGTGAAATCAACTGTAATAAATATTGATAATAGAAAATAGAGAGCAAAGTCATCTGGAGAACTCTAAAGAGTTTGCTACGAAATAGAAAAGGACAGAAACGAAGGCGCACTTCCACTTTGTGAGGGTATCGTCCACCTTGCGAAGACCTTCAAATTCCTTTAATTAGTGCTCATTCGTACCAACCGACAGCTTTACACGGGTGTACTGCTCTCGAAAAAATCAAAACTGTGAACCTGTTTGTTAATAAAGGGACTAGCGGAAGCAATCCGGAAAAAAAAGTGGCGAATTACCTATTGTGGGTGCGCCAACGCATGACCTGCTTCTGCTAGGCCATCGTGTCAAGATGGTATCTTGTTTCGGCGTAGCGGATACTGTGTGGAAGACGAAACAGATTTGTCATTGAGAAAGAACCGGCTGGCTTGGTCGAAGCGGGAGCATGGCAATATAACGCACTGCAGTAGGGTATGCACAACCCACACTATTTTGAAAATTAGACAAGTTGCTCGTTTCAATAGGCCCAACACTTTTGTTGTAGGGCTAGCAGCAGGCAAAAATCTGCTTTGCTTGGCAATGTATGATGAGCCGGAAAAAGCGAGAAAAATTTTAGGCGCGAATTTATATTTTACGCGAATTTATGTCTTCGTGAACACAATCTTATCTTCAGTCATACACCCTAGCTTCCAGGCAGACCATGGAGAGGGCGCGGCCGCATACTTCAATTGAACGTGGCTCAGGAAGCGTTTTTGTAGGTTGCTTTCATTAGAGACAACCGTCTTCCTGCCCGGTGATTGACAAAGGATATGATTACGAATGCGTCAGAAAGCTCAGACACTCCGCATGAGTATACAGCCCCGCCTGCATGTCGGCGGTCGTAACCCTCACATCTCCGGGGATACGGAGTATAACTTAGAGCGGCAGACCTAAAGGGATTTAGAACTGGGGAAAGTTCTTTGTTTTCAGAAGGCACAGTACTCGTGTACCACATCTGTTGTCACTGAAATTCACCTATTGCGACTTGGATCCGAGAGTTTTTTGTTAGTGTGAGAGCTGGTTCATAGGAATCGATGCAAAGATGAGCTAATCAAACTTCTAATGAAATGTACCACGTACTCGTCTCTCATTCAAAATCGCAGTGACCTTTATGGGAACTTGGAACCGCGGAGTTATGGACTCAGTGTGAACGAAACAACCCTCCGAGCCAGCTGATCTGTCCTTTGACGTCTTTAGACACAAGTAACTTGTAGTTACAAAGCAGTTGCGTTCACACCAAACCAATCTGTCATGGATCTCCAACTCGATGGAGGTACAGCGCCCGTGAGAACAAAAGGGAGGGCAATGTTCATAACTTTGCCAGTGCTATCTTCATTATCAACCCAAACCCTCTTCTTCTTCTTCTCTTCTTCTTCCCAACGGGTCGCACTCTGCGATCGCACTTTCTCCCAACGTCTCCCACTCTGCGGATTCCAGGTCACACGGTTAACTCTGCGTACAGCTCAGCTGGACTAGGTGATATTTGGCGGTTTAGTTCTGAATACTGCCACGACTGGCAAACGTTCTACGGTAACTGGAACAAGAGATTGTCCTGCAAATCCTGTAAATAACGAAATAAGAGATCACAAATGCAAGCTGTGTTGAAGTGTTGTGTTGAAATTTTAGAGCTAGAAATTCGGTGAAATACTCCCTCAAGCGGCACATGTCATCCTCAAACGAAGATTTGCATAGTTGTATGAATCAAGGAATATCGTAACAGAAGCCTACCTTGTTAATGCAATAATGACTGTACATAACAAAGAATCCTGTGAAAGGTAATATTGAGATGAATGAGCCGATTGGCTTCATACACCTTCAAGATGGCACAACACAACTAATTCAGCTACACTGTGATTGGTATGATCATCCTATACTTAATGGTTACGGTATGTTATGTTTTTTTTAAAAATGAACAACCAATTGCATACAGCTTTTGCTGAGAACGCTGGAGCAATTAGGGGGGCTTGAGATGTAGCAGCACCAGCCCGTTCTCCACCATTGTGTGCCAATCCGTGCTCCACCAATTTGCATAATTGGTGGAGCACGGATTGGCACAGCACCAAATCTAGAACAGCTACACCCTCCCCCTTAAAACGCCCCAACGTCCGCAGTGAGTGAGAACGTAGGGTTTTCTAGTTAAAGCTGTGCTTTACATCTAC